CCCGCAAAATTTTCCTCTTCTTTTTTTTTTCTTTCCAATTTGTCTTATTTTTATTTTTGTCTTTTCAATTATGTTTATATATGTCATTGCTAATGTACAAGTTTCTATCAAAATCCAGTGGCAAACCAAGGAAGTCATATTTTGAATACGCATAACTAGGGAATAACTATAAATCCTACTGAATGCTATTAGTATGTCATTCTAATATACAATTCAGATTGTACAATGTAATGAGATCATATACCTGAACTTAGCTTAAAACAAATTAACTATATAGTTAAAAGTGAGACTTTGGAGCAGTAAATAAAATATAAAACAAGCAGCTCTTCTTCCCAGTGATGCAATTAGCAGAAGCATTCATATTTACAATAAACTGAATAGATGTCTATTATGAATCAATTTAAAAAACTAAATCAATTTGAGACTACAATGATCCAATTCGTAGGAGAACGGAATTATAAGTCCAAAACTGGAAAACAAATATTTCTTGGTTGAATATTAGTGATCGATAGCTGAAAAGTTGCACTTATTCGAAAATTTTAAATCTTAACCCGCATCCGCACCGCACCCGCAAAAAACTGAATTTGTTTTTATGTTGACCCGCACCGCCCCATTGCCATCCCTATTTGAAATGCAGGTACACTTGACTTAACTCACTTTATTAACATAGAATCCTAATACGCCATTGATTCTTTTCTCCACAAGAACAACAACAGTGCAGGTATTAACACTCTATAAATTAACATCTAAATTATACAGCATGTGTTCTCACTAATATGTGGAAAAAACTTAGTTAGTGCACCTATCAAAACATGTGGAAACTCAGTGGTACAAGTGCGAATGTGCGATCGCCTCACAAACTGTAATGACAATTATTTTCATTTGGTTAATAAAGTAAGATTCTTTTCTTAAGAAATTAAAAATTGGAACCACAAAACAGTAAAATAAAAAACCTAATTTTAAGAATGAAAAGTTCAAGTCAAGCACCATACAATTCATTTCAAATTAATATTGGGAACCAAGAAACAACAATTCACCTATAATTATTGCACCTAGAAGCACATTTAAAATCAAAGTCAAGTTCTATCAAAAGTAAGAACTCCAATTTGAATCACATTTTTTTTCCTTCAGATATTAAAGTAAGATTCTTTGAAGAAAGCGAACCTGTAGGAAACATCTCTCCTAGAAGAACCAAAAGAGGGATGTTGATGATAATTCAGATACCCACTTGATGTTTCCATTAATTAATGCACCAAAACAAAATTAAAAAATACAATAAAAAAGGCGTTGGCAATGGCGGAGAAACGCAGTAGGTGGTGTTTTGGATAGATTTAATTACTCAACGGCTTAAGTGTTTTGTGACGGCCGCCGGAAGATGGCGTGAAGCCGGAGATTGTGACGGCCGCCGGAAGTTTGGCCGGAGAGAAGAGAGGGAAAGAAAATTGATGGAAAATAGGAAGAGAGAAGTTGAAGTGTTGGAACGTTGGGAGTATTTGTTGAATCCGACATCATCGTTGGAACATGGGTCGGAGCTTGGGGGGTGGGGGCGGCTCCCACAAATTATTAATTTATGACTTTTTAAAATTTATTAATTATATTCGGTACCGTGATTAATTCACTCCTATTAGAAGTTTGCGTTGGTAAATAAAATAATTTTTGGGAAAATGTTTCAAATAATTTCAAATGTAAAGGGGAAAGACGTAAGATTTTCTTTTCTTTCAAAAGAAGCAACATTTGTAAAATATAAAGAAAATGAAGAACAATGTTTTTTTATACGGCAAAGATCACTTTTAGCTCATAATCAAAATTATTTTCATCTGATAACCGTAAAAGTATATAAAATTTATAAATTATATAATATATATAAATATTATATATATATATATATATAATATTTATTTATTCGATAATTATTTGAGAGCAGGTATACAATGTGATTTTTTCCTTTTTTTTGTATAGGAGGTTGAAATGAAAAAAAGACTTTGGACAAAAAGGAGAATAATAATTAATGGTCACTTACTACTCAATGTCAATTTGTCATAATTTTACTCTCCATATCTTTTTTTAGTTTAACTAGTCAAATTTGATTTAGTATAACATCGGGCAATCGAAGAAAATAAAAGTAAGGATCTGTTGAAAGAGAAGATATACAAAATTCTATAAACTGGTCAAAGTTTTAGTTGGAAAAGTAATACATAAAAGAATAATCTGACATGTTTTTTTTTTCCTTCAAAAGAGACAAGAATTCTGAAATATCGAGAAAGTGAAAAAAAAAATGGTTGGTTTATTAGGTTACAATTTGGTGTGTGATTCATGTTAAGGGCAATTTGATTAAGTGAATCAAAAAAAGAAAAATGGAACCATATGAAAAACAACACAATTCATTTAATAATGAGTTTGTCTAGGCATTTCTGGGAACAGTCAAATCTTCAAAATTTCAGCAATCTTAGCTAAAAATCTTTTCTAAAGAACGTTCATTTAATTTCCAAACATCAAGGAAGTGAAGCAATTTCAAGTCTTAGGTATTTTCAATATTTGTTGTATTACCATTGCTTAAATTGAGATATGGAACCTCGTACGTACTCAAGTGAGATATTACGTGCATTTATATTAACAAAGCAAGAACATATTCCTTTCTCTGCTTTTTGCTCTTTATAGCCCCACCAAAAATGATGAGAAACTTTCTATTATCGGGAAATTTTACTTCTCTCACCCCCACCCCCACCCCACCCCCCAAAAAAAAACCCAAAAATTGTGTGATTTATTCATAACAGTCTTCTGATTAACAACCAAATATGTATCATATATTCATACTTTATTATCAATTTACACCATCTCCTATTCATAAAACAAAGATTCATTTTAATTTGCAAGTTAAAATTTTGTAAATTCTTACCAAATTCAGATTCTCTTCCTTGGTTATCTTCTTCTCAACCCCATCCCCCGAAATTCAAAGCAAAGCCAAAATATTTGTAAAGAAAATCTTCGTTAGCCTAAATCTCAAAACACCATTAACAATTCACAACTTAAATTAGCATTCTCAAGGCCACAAAAAAGAAATGTTGGGGAAATTACTCTCTTTTTTAAAAAAAAATTGTTGGGGTCTTCTTCACTTCTTGAATTATTCTTTTATTATCTCTTCATTTCAATTTATGTGAATCTATTTTCTTTTTTGTCTATGTCAAAAAGAATGAACCCCTTTTCATATTTGTAAACAATTTACATTTATGCAATGATTTAAAGTCATACAATTTATATGTGTCTCATTTTACGCTACAAATTCAAAAGTCTTCTATTTTTTTAAAACCACATACATAGTCAAATAGGTTCACATAAATTGAAACGGATGGAATATTTAATTCTATTATTTATTTTTTTGAATCTTTGCATCATATCACATCCTTTGTCGTCCAGTTTGGGTTGAAATTCATGTGTCTGCTATTTTTGAGGCACTTTTTAGTTTGGAGTGGTAGCAAATGCAACTTGCAAATTGGATCTTTGTTTCATGAAGAAGAAAGAGCGTGAATTGATAATAAAGTATGAATATATGATCCATATTTAGTTGTTAATCAGAAAACTGTTATGAAACATTTATTATACAAAAAATTTGGGTTTTGGTTTTAAGAAGGGTGGGGGGAGGGGGAGAGAAGAAGAATATCTGAATTTGGTAAGAATTTACAAAATTAATAAAGTGGGACAAGTAGTCCAATTGTCAAATTTTAAAGGAGCCTCACACAAATATTGTTGGTTGTGTGACTTATAAAGTAAAATTTCTCTTCTATTATCATGATTCATGCAACAACAAAAAAAAAACTTTAATGAAGAATATTTCGCAAAAGAGAAAGCGAGAGAATAAAAAATTAAAGTACACAGGAATCCAATAAAAGTTGTTCATATCATAACCAAATTTAGCACATTCCAAAATTATTAAATCCAAGACTATTTCCCATGCATAAAACCCTTGTCATAAAATCCTCTTAATTAAACTCTAATCGCCACAGCAGGCTGAGGAGATGGAGTTCCACAATAACCACGAAGAATATCAACTTCCTCAGCAGTAAAACCAATGGAAGTAAGCATAGAAGGCCAACAGTTATAAGTAATAGTTCTAATAGCCTTACAACAATCTTTCCCTAAATAAGATTCACCATTGAAGAAGAAAAGTATGATCTCATTTGTGCATGATTTTATTTCAAATAATGCATTCCAACACACTGGCATGCTACCTTCTCCTCCATTTTCGCCGCCTTCGAGTTGAAGCCTAGCAACAATGTCTTGTCCTAATTTCATTTTGGACAAGTTTATTGCCGTTGTTGTTGTTGTTGTCAGAAGCCACGAGATTAAAAGTACTAATGGAAGTTTGAAAGGAGCTGTCATTGATTTATTTATTTATTTATTCTTGAAATGAAGTGCAGAATATGTGTAGAGTGCGTGGTAGGGATATGGTGAAGGAAATGAAGGTTTAGACATGGTGATTTATAGGTTGTAAAGTAAGCTATAGAGACTGTAACTGATGTAAGTTGAAGAGGCAGAATTTAATTAAGAATTTGATATACACAATAATAAGTTTAATTCATGATTTCATCAGTTAGTAATGTGAAAAGTTAGGAACCTAATCAAAGATTCATTTGTTTGATTGAAATATTAATCAACGTAACGTTTTGGATAATTACTAAAAGGAATCCAATCATACAGCTAGTTATGATCACCAAAAGGAATTATATGTATGGATTTTCCGTCTACTATACAAATAAGCTACCGAATCGATACCTAACTGATATATACTTATTTTAGACTAATTCCAACCTAAACTAGATGTTCTCTAGCCAATATCTCTGACTATAATCGAAAGGTCTTTGATAATATGATACCGCTAAAATGTTATATCTCAGAAGGAGCTTCAAAATAGAACTAGCTAGTATTTTCACACTTTTTCCTTTTTTTTTTTTTTTTTTTTTGAGTTGAGCAAAAGATATTTAAAATTTAGACGTCAAATATCTAAAAGAAAATTCATCAATCCAAATTCTAGATTTAGTATTCACAGCAAATTCGTAGACCTTTTTCTTTGCTACATAAAGTGTAAAATTTCATAATATCATCTTAGTTTAACCACCTAATTCTTTAAAGATTAAAACGAGAAAATTAAAACCATTTGCTTTATTTATATTTGCTTCTATTCATGGCCCACAAAATCAAGAACCTTCAAAAAATAAATAAGAGATAAAACAAAAAGAGGAAGGGTGAGATTCAAAGTTCCAACTGACGATAACTTTTGAAATCTCAAAAAAATGGGATGCCAAAGATTCCCTTCTTTTTTTTAATATTAATATAGGAGAGATTCACCTAGAAATGACTGCACACAATATAATTCTTATATTATTCATTAGAGTATATTCACTTGAAATAGTCTTTATATGTTATTGTTATTCCATTTTCATTTTGCTGAGTTATTCTCGTTATCTGGTGTTGAACACAAGATTCATAACTTATACAGCTTGAGTGTTCGGTTTGACTTGAATCAAGAGGCTTGGCCCATGTTGATTGGATAGCAATCTGTTGAATTTAGCCCAAAAGAGTTGCTCTACTAGGCCCAATAAAGCATTAAGACCAAAGCCAGATAAAACTAACAGAATATATAACAGTTGTTTCTTAACAAGAAATGTATATTTTTAGCCGCTCCCTATAATAATATCTGATATATATATATATTGCATATACTTTTGGGCATGCGAATGCAATTAGTTTCGGCACGGCCAATTTTGTATTTTGCCCTTTCTTAGTTCAGAATAATTGGGCCAACTATGATCAAGAATTTGAGGTTTCAATCCAATTTATTTTCTGAATATAGTTAAGAAAAAATTTATTTGTACTTCTGTTGAAAATATGAAGAGTAGCAAATAGGAGGACCCTACAATTAGCTGCTGAGCCTAAAAACCAACCGACAATACAAAAATTCCTAAAACATTCCGAATAGATCGGCCCACACCTACAATCTGGTCCTATAAGCCCATCTCAGTTAATAGTGGGCCTAAACCTTAATGGGTACAATAGTGGGCTCAAAGGCCCTACCTTGTTTGTAATCCCATGTCCTATTTGTCCAAATGACCCATTAAAATGTCTCATCCCACGGTATAACTATTCTTGGGAATCCCGAAATAACTAATCTCGAGATAATTAATTTTGGGATAACTTGTTTCCCAACCAGATGACCCCTAAAGGTGTTCTACTTTGTGTCAATTGTAGTGTCCAATATACTTGGGCAAAATACAAAATTAGCCGATCGGTAGAAACTAATTGTATTTACTAGTTAAAAGTATATAAAATATGTATATTATGTATATAATACACATATTAATAAAAAAAAAATATTTTATCAGATATTATTTTTGGAAACGACTAAAAATATACATTTCTCTATAAACTTTCGTTGCTCTTTATGGTGCTTCGGGTCTTGTATATGGACACAATGTTGAAATATAACCCCGAGACCACATGCACGGA